TGCATAGTCAGAATCTACATACCCATTGATTAGTAAGTTTGATCCTCCGTAACATAATGCAACATTTGAGGTCCCTTTGATGTATCTTAGGATCCTCTTTACAATATTCCAATGCTCTTTGCCTGGATTCGCCATGTACCGACTAACCACTCCCACTGCTTGTGCAATGTCTGGTCTTGTGCATATCATAGCGAACATTAAACTTCCCACTACTGATGCATACGGTACTCGAGACATCTCCATCCTCTCTTCTTCACTGCTAGGACTCATACTGGAGGATAATTTGAAGTTAATAGGAAGAGGGGTAGAAATTGGCTTACAATCTTGCATGTTGAATCGTGACAAGATCTTCTTCAAGTAATTCTTTTGTGAAAGCCAAATCTTCCTATTACTTCTGTCTCGGTGAATTTGTATCCCTAGAATCTTGTTTGCTGATCCCAAGTCCTTCATTTCAAATTCCCTAGCCAGTTGTGCCTTCAATTCTTCAATATGATCTTTGTTGGGTCCTGCAACCAACATGTCATCCACATACAACAGTAATATAATAAAATCGTTATCATCAGACCTCTTGAAATAAGCACAAGGGTCTACATTAAGTCTGTTGTATCCAAGGCACATAATAAAGGAATCAAATCTCTTATACCAACACCTCGGCGCCTGCTTTAGACCGTACAGAGATTTGTTCAACTTGCAAACCAAGTTCTTCTTTTCGTCTTCTTCAAAACCTTCAGGCTGGAGCATATAAATCTCTTCTTCAAGATTTCCATGAAGAAAAGCTGTTTTAACATCTAGTTGTTCCAGATGTAAATTCAATGTAGCACACATTGCCAAGACTACTCGAACTGTTGTTAGTCGAACCACAGGAGAAAAAATTTCATTGAAATCAATACCTTCTTTCTGAGCATATACTTTGACCACCAGTCTTGCACGATACCTCTCCACTTGATCGTCACCATTTCGCTTGATTTTGAAAACCCATTTGTTACCAATTGGCTTCCTTCCTTGTGGTAGTGGCACAAGGTCCCATGTATTATTTTTATGAAGGGCTTCGATTTCTTCTTGCATTGCCATCATCCACAGTGAAGCATCTGAGATGTTTATTGCCTCCTGATATATTGATGGCTCACCGTCTTCTGTTAAAAGACAGTATGCAACATTTCCTTCTATAACATAATCTGAGTGCCAATTGGGACGTCTTCTCACACAATCTGATTGACGAGTTGTTGGAGCTTCAGAACTCTCTGGTTCTTGTTCATCATGTGCTGGTTCTGCTTCAGAAGAATCTCCTTGTTCAAACTCCTTTTCTACATGTATCTGTGTAGTCTCTGACTTTTCAGCGCTGTCATTGTCTTCTTTTCTTTGTAGCTTATCTTCTACAAAGATAACATCCCTGCTAATGATCACTTTGCGGGCAGTGGGATCCCACAAGCGATACCCCTTTACTCCATCAACATACCCCAAGAATTTGCATTTTCTGGATTTTGGATCCAGCTTTGAAATTTCTTGGGCGTTGTACATCACGTACACAATACTTCCAAATAAATGGAGGTTTGAATAATCAACTAGTTTACCAGTCCACATCTCCATTGGTGTCTTCAGCTCTATTGCAGTTGATGGAGCTCGATTCACCAAATAACAGGTGGTATTTACTGCTTCTGCCCAGAATGATTTTTCTAGGCCTGCGTCCCTCAACATTGCTCTTGTTCTTTCTAACAAGGTTTTGTTCATCCGCTCTGCCACTCCATTTTGTTGAGGAGTGTTCACCACTGTGAACTGTCTTTTGATGCCTTCTTTCTTGCAAAAGTCATCAAATTCTTCGCTTGTGTATTCTCCTCCACTATCTGTTCTGAAACACTTGATCTTATTTCCAGAATCAAGTTCCACCCGCGCCTTGAAGTTTTTGAAAGTTGAAAACACGTCTGACTTCTTCTTGATAGGGTACACCCAACATCTCCTGGAGTAGTCATCAATAAATGAGACAAAGTATTTTACTCCACCTAGGGATGTAACTGGTGCTTGCCATACGTCAGAGTGAACCAATTCTAGAACATTTTTGCCTCTAGAATTTTATTTGTTGAATTCCAACCGGTGCTGCTTACTTGTTATGCAATGCTCACACAAAGGAAGTGTTACCTTTGTTAAGCCTGGAAGTAGTTTTTGCTCCACAAGGACTTTCATTCCTTGTTCTGACATGTGTCCAAGTTTCTGATGCCATAGCATTGTAGAATCTGAACTACATGAGGCAACAGAGGCTTCTGCTTCTAGCAATGTCTCTCCCTTCAGTATGTACAAGTTTGCAGCTATCTTTTCACCTTTCAGCACACAAGCGCTCCACGGAACACCTTCATGATTCCTTTCCGTGTTTCAATCTTGCTTGCATTATTATCCAACAATCCGTAGGATAATAAATTTTTCTTTAGGCCTTTCACGTGCCGCACATCTCGAACAACTTTAATTGTTCCATCATACATCTTCAATTTTATGGTTCCCACGCCAATGATCTCTAAGGCATGATCATTACAACTATACACAGATCCTCCTGAGACAGGTTCATATTGATGGAACCATTCTCTTCTTGAGGTCATGTGATATGTTGCTCCTGAATCAATGAGCCATATATCTGCAAATCTTTTTCTTCCTTCCACGGTGGTTGACGCTTCACAGCATAGTGCATCTCCATCATCTGAAGTGTTTGCGGTATTACCTTGTGGATTGAAGTTTTTATTTAGACTCCAACAATCATTCTTCAAGTGACCATTCTTTCCACAGTTGTAGCACTTTAAATTCTTCTTGCTCCTCGACTTTGATCTACCATGTTTGTGACTACTGCTTTGGCCACGTTCTGTTGATCTCCCTCTCATCGTTATCAATGCCACTGCTTGTTGCAGATTTACTTGTCTGTCTTCCTTGTTTTTGCGCCGATTTTCTTCTTGGAGAACAGCATCTGCAACGTCATCGAAGACTAGACTGGTGACATTACTGTTTGTCAAGTTAATGATGAGTTGATCATACGAATCAGGTAGACTTTGAAGTAAAAGTTCAGCACGTTCTTGTTCTCCTATTGTACATCTTAAGGATGTAAGCTGAGAAAATAACGTGTTCAGTGTGTTTAAGTGCTCCGTCACTGAAGTAGATTCTGGCATACGGAGAGTGTATAATTTCATCATAAAGAAAAATTTTATTGTGCAACGATGTGGCCTCGTACAATTTGGTGAGATGATCCCATATCTCCTTAGCTGTATTCTTTTCCTCGATGCTTGACAATACTTCATCTGCTAATGCTAGATGAAAGTTTGCCATAGCATTCTCGTCCATTTCGATCCATTTGTTGTCATCTGTAAAATCTACCGACCTTTCACTGATAGCTGCTAGACATCCGTCTTTCCTCAGGATGGCCTCCATCTTCAATTTTCACAATGAGAAATTTCTCCCATTAAATTTTTCAATATCAAATTTCGTTGCCATAGCTTCTATTACGGATAGCTCCCACTATTTCACTATCATGAATAGTTCTCTGGAACCTTCAAAGAATGGGTAATACCTTCTTACTTTATTATGTTGGAGGATCCACCTTTTGGTGGCAACCACAAAGACAATAAGCAGATATTACACACTCTAATCTAGCTCTGATACCAATTGTTGCGGAAGACGGCTATCGGATAGAGCAAAATCGCAACTGATAATTTGAGAAAATAAAAATGAAGATAAAAGAGACACAAAATTTACGTGGAAAACCCCTAAAAAATAGGGTAAAAACCACGAGCAACGGTAGAAGAATTTCACTATGAGAAAATAGGAATTACAACCTCTCTCGATCTACCAAGGAGAAAACAATGATAATTCTCTCTCGATAAAAAAGAGAAAACAACTCTCAAGAAACTCTCTAAATTCTCTCTAGTATTGGAAGAAAGCTAGAATGCTTTGGGATGATTTTGAAGCTAAATGAGCTAGGGTATTTATAGTTGAAGCTTTAAGGACTAATTTGTAAATATCCTAAATTACAATGACTAAATTATGCTTATACCATTTAGCAATTTCAACAATTGTGTGCTCCTTTTGACCATTGCACCGAATTGTGCATTAATGCACCGTTTTTTGGTGCTGACTTTTAACAGAGATTAGTAGTTTAAACACTAATGACATATCTTGAACTAGTTCATAGTGACGATGAGTAATTCATCTATTAGATGAGTGAACTAATCTTAAACTTTTTAAGATTAAGGTGAATTAGAAAAATGACCCTTCAACGAATAAACTTTGGACTAGTCCCTTCAACAAATCAAGAATCGATTTCCGACTTAACCGTCAGCTTTCTCTACTTCCATCCCCACAAAGCCAACTCTATTCATGATCACCGTCAGTTGGTTGCAGATCACCATGTCCCACAAAGTGAAACAGATTGGAAAATTTACAGCCAAGGTACATACAATGAATAAAACTGAAACTGCAAAATAACAATCGTTAACATCTTGTGTATCTATTTGTCAGGAGATAATCCTCAGCAAGTGAAGACTAAGATAAGGCATTGGGCGCTAGCTGTGGCGTGCTCTGTAAAGCAGTCATGCTGCTGAGAACAAGCAAAAGAAACAAAAATGGAAGAAATATAGAGTAAGAAAACGAGATCACTTACAGGGATTCAATTTGATTGTAATCTAAGACCAATTTTCTTCATTCATTTTTGGATAAAAAGAATATAGACAGCAGCAGTAAACATAAGATACTGAAACACATCCGTTGTTGAACCTTCGTTAGTTTTAATACGTGAACAATATTTATCTTTCCAAATAATATTTTATATAAACTTTACGCATTATAATTTTTAATGGTTGATTATTTATTATCATCAATATATCTGGGATTCAAATTTTACTAACAACAAAATTATAAAGTAAGTGTTGATGTCAATATTGCACGAAAACGTGAAGTAAAATTAGCAGCTAGCAAGCAGCAAGTGCTACTGATATCTTTATTCCAGAATTGATTTTATTTGAGAAGTGATATTATTTGGTATTACCAAGCATTTATTAATGAGCCAATGCTGGAACTCATTTAGTCACCACAGTTAACAAATTCATAGTTGACTGTGAGGAACCCATTAGCTTTGCCACGCCCATTAGTGTCAAGTCGATTAAACACATTAACATCCAAATCCAGGCCTCCGTTGCTGCACTGATCCACGATTCTCACGGTCGCCTGAGCTCTGGTCGCGGTGTTAGTCACCTACAAATAAACACAATGGCAAAAACCCTCAAAATTAATTTACGTAAGTAGTACAAGATAAGAATGCGTAGTAGTATTTACATACCCTTAAGCATCTGCCACAAGAAGGTCGACCTCGAGGACCAGCAGGGCCACAAAAGGCTGTCCATCCATATCGGCGACGCCATGCCAAGGGCCTACCGGCGTCCCATGTGGCGCAGAAAACACTTGCCTTCATGTAGTCCCAGTTTATATTCTGTGGGTTATAAATGTGATAAGTAGCTCTCACGTTCGATGCACTTTGGGCAGCCACCGATGCCACAACACAAGCTAACACCACAATGCAAAGCTTCAATTTCTCCATCCTTCTTTTTTTTTTTTTTTGCTTTTTCGTTGCCTCAAAATGCTGTTAATTTATGGGGAATTCATTCCATGAATTGCTGATTAGATTGTGTTAAGACTGTTAGGAATAAGAAAATTAGTCAACTGTTAGTTTGTTAGTTTGTTGTTAGATTGTTAAATGGTTAGGCCGAAAGCTTGAAAATTTTAACTCCGAAATAAATTTTACTTTTTCTTACGTCGGCTAATAAAGATTTTAGATGACTATGATGTGACTGAAAATTCGTTTAGTTTAGTTTCTTTGATTTGATTTTTCGTATTGTTCACATTTATCGGATTTCTTCTTGAAAATATGGTTCCAATATTTGTACGCTGATTCATTGAATATCATCACTTATCTTTGGATGGGATGAGTACCTACTCGCATCGATATTTATCGATATAAATTTATAAATAGCTATTAAATTATGATAAAATAATATTTTTAGTCATTCAACTTTTAAAAAATTATAAAATAAGTATTAAATTTTAGATTTCATTAAAAAAGACACTCAACTATTGTTAAAGGCAAATGTGACGTATTAAATTAAAAAAATATCTTATTTTTCATCAATTGTGACTACAATTTTGTTTTTGATATTTTTTTTAATAATTTTAAGTAATAATTCCAAAAAAATTAGAAAAATAATTTTTAAATATATGAATTTTAAAATTTTAGTTTTGAAATTATAAATATATTTTTAAAATTATATTTAAAACTATTAGACAAAATTTAAAGAATTGAATCACACTGTTTAATAAAAAAATGATTTCATTTTCATAACTAAAATTGTCATATCTCATATCTCATAAATTATTAATTTTTAAATATAATCGCAATTAAATAAAAACTAATTATATTTTTTTGAATTAATAAATTCATATTTTTTTTAAAAAAAAATTATAATTTTATGAATAAAAATATTAATTATAAATTTATATTTAAAAATACTTTTACAATTTTAAAAATGAACCGTGAATATATATATATATATATATATATATATATATATATATATTTAAAAATTAGTTTTTAGAATTATTTTTGAAATATTAAAAATATCAAAATAAAACTTAGTTTACAATTGAGGGGGTTCAAATGATATTTTTTTTTATTAATTTAACATGTTACATTATCCCTTTAATTATAATTAAAGATGGTATATTCATTTTGAAATACAATTGAGGGGTTGAATGAGATATTATGTAACTTTTCAAAGTTTAATGTTCAAAAGGATGATTTTAGTATAGATTAACGACTATTTAAAAATTTTACCATACAAAATTAGTGGTACATTTTGGTGTATGACATGCATTGTAGAATTGTCCTCCTTGGATGACTTTTCTTTTTAACCAAAATGATAATCTTGGAACATAAAATTACTTTTGACGTTATATTTACTAATAACATCAGATTAAATTATGGCATAAGCATGTTACGTTTAATTCACATATTTATTAAACATTTTATGTTAGAAAAATTGACCGTTACGAGGTATTACATTGATTGACAAATATAAAATAACTAATTAGAACAATAATCGTGTCGTTGTAAATCACTGCCTTATAAACAATTTCATCATGAAGTGTGTAATCACTATAATGGACGAATGAAAGACACCTTAAGGTTAGTACAACTTTTTTAAATTTTGTACACTTGAAAGATTGAGTGAACTTTTGTTGTAGTACTCTTCTTCAAAGTAAGAATTAGAACTCAGTGTTAGAATATAAGAGTCTATATTATATCTATGATTGTTAAATCATTTATAATTGGTTACGTTTGGTTAATGTTTGTTGTATTTCTGTTATAGGCCGTTGAGTTTCTGTCATGGGATGTGTCTTTGGTTATTGGGCTATAAATAACCAAGGACTTTGTATTCTACAAGGAATTGTATTGATGAAAAGCTTTTTGTTCAACGTTTTCCTCTTTCGTGTATTTTCTGTTTTCAGAGATCTAATTATCTCGTTTCTCTTTATTCTTTCTGTCTATCTCAAATCTCCAATCTCCAATCACATGAGTTATAATTTTTAACATGGTATCAGAGCCAAGTTTTGGCTTACTAGCCATATGTTCCTGTGTTGTTGTGGTTCGATGAAGGAGTTTCTATTGTGGCTCGATTTATATGTTTGTTTTCTTCAGGTTCTTTGATTTATTCTCTTTTCTTACTTCTCTCTTATCTCGAGAGATATTTTGGCTATCTTTGTGCTCAGATCATTGTTTTTCTTTATCTGATTTATTGTAATTCGATAGTTTTTGTTGAAGATTTGGTGTGTTGTATTTTATGGTTTTGGTGTTGTTCAATAACCTATAATTTTTTCTTCATCTATATATTGTTCCTTCATCCTACTTCACTTACATCCTCATCTCATTCTCTATCTTTTTCTATACCACTTTATTTCTCATATCCATCATTACTTCCATCACCATCTCATACATCTTCCTATTTCCTACCACATCATTCATCATCCACATCCACATCACCTACTGCTATGGTCATGATTATTCAGAATACTCATTCTATGATCATGAGAAGTAAAGCAGAGATGTACTTTGTTTTGATCAGAAATGACACTTGGGATCTTCAGCTGTTGTCTCCCACGCGCAAACCAGTTAGGTGCAAGTGGTTTTTCAATATTAAGCGTAAGCTAGATGGATCTGTTGATCGATTTAAAGCCAGTTTGGTGGCCAAAGGGTACTCACAAGTGGTTGATACTAGTTTTCGTAAGACTTTTAGTCCGATATGGTTCAAACTGTCACTATCAGAACTATTTTTGGCAACCTCGGTTCTTCATAACTGGTCAATTAGATAAATTGATATAAACAATATGTTTCAGAATAGGCAATTATCTGAAGAGATATATATGCCTCAACCACTCAGGTTAGAGAAATATGGGCCTTTGAGTGACAAATAAGTGTGTCAGTTCAAGAAAACAATTTATGAGCTTCGACAAGCACCCAGAGCATGGTATCAAACACCACAGTCCACCATGATTTCCAAGTTGGATTTTATTGACTCTAAAGCTGATTCCTTTCTTTTTATTAGGAATTCAAAAAACTCTAGCTTATTTATGATGGTGTTTGTCGATAACATTATCATTATATGATGTAATGGTGTTGAGATTGATGAGATAATGAAGAAGATCAATGTTGAATTCTTATTGAAGGATATCGGGCAAGCTGGGTTCTTTCTTGAAATGGAAGTTCAATAATATTCTACTGGTTTGATGCTTAGTCAAAGACGATATATTGTTGAATTGTTGACCAAAATTGATATGCTACAATTTAATCCAACTTCTACTCCTAAGGTGGTTAGCCCTAAGTTAAAGTATGATGATGGGCCTATTTTTGAAGATATATATTTGTATCGCAGTGTTGTAAGAGGCCTTTAGTAAATCACTTTAACGAGGCCTGACATTGCCTTTACGGTTAATAAGGTTAGCCAATTCATGAATAACCCATATGTGGTTCACTGGAAGGCTGTTAAGTGTATCCTCAAATATTTGTGTAGTACTCTTAAACATGGGTTGTATTATCAACATTATGAGTTCTTTAATTTGGTGGGATACATTGATGCTGATTTGACAGCCTCTCTTGATGATCGTCATTCGAAGATTGGGTATTGTATTTACCTTGGTGGTAATCATGTAGCCTGGTGCTCGAAGAAGTAGACTGTGATGTCCAGTTTCACGTCAGAAGTATAATATCAAAGTCTTGTTAATTCTATTTCTAAAATTGTTTGGATTTAGCATTTGTTGACTGAAGTATGGGTTTCTCTTTCGAGAAGTCCAATAGTTTGGTATGATAATTCATCCACCATCTCAATGGCTTCTAATGCTACTCATCATACTCGTGTAAAGCATGTTAAGCTTGATATTCATTTTGTTTGTGAAAAGGTCCTTACTAGATAATTGCTTGTGAACTTTGTTTCTTCTGCAGAAAAACTTGCTGACATTCTGATAAAACCCATTCCCCTGCCTTTTTTTGTTAGTTTCAGTTTTATCATGGTGTTGTTTCCTTGAAAGAACTTTGAAGGAAAAATAGAAACCAAGAGAATGATAGTGTATAAGAGTCTGTATTATATCTAAAATAGTTAAATTAATTGTAATTGGTTACATTTGGTTAACGTTTGTTGTATTTCTGTTATGGGTCGTTGAGTTTATGTTATGGGTTGTGTCTTTGGTTATTGGGCTACAAATAACCAAGGGCTTTGTATTCTAAAAGGAAGTGAAATAATGAAATGTCTTTTAATCTATGTTTTCCTCTTTCGTATATTTTCTGTTTCCAGATATCTAACTGTTTTTTTTCTTATTAATCTTTCTGTCTATCTCAAATCTTCGATCACCGGAGTTATAATTTTGGCACTAAAAAAAGTCAGGAAGACACTAATAAGAAGAATTATAGTGTCTCAAAAAAATATTTGCTTAAAACATCTCAAATAAGAAGACTTATCCACTATTTATAAAATGAATGGTGATGACCAGGGATGGATGCAAAATGTTATGTTAGGGGAGAATGTGAACTTATAAAAGAGGGTGAACTTGAACTTGTAAAATTTTAAGGGGTGAAAATAGATTTTCAATAGAAAATACATAAAAAATCTAAAAATATATGATAATTTTAAATTTTAGGGGGTGATCGCCCCTATCCGTCCCCACCTAAGTCCATCCCTGATGATGACAAAAAATGCCATTCCATTTACTAGCATTGAAATACTTAAATGTTTTAGTTCAAAACATTAAAAATGTTTTAGTTCAAAACATTAAAAATGTTTTAGTTCAAAACATTAACAATATTCCTCCACTAATAAGAAAAAATTATTTTGTAAAAAATAACAGCGTTGAAGGTAAAACATGAGAAAAACATAGCGAGATTAGTAGCTTAAGCAATGGTGACGTAACTTGAACTAGTTCATATTGATGATAAGTAATTTCTCTCTTAGATAAGTGAATTAATCTTGAACTTTCTAAGATTAAGGTGAATTAGAAAAATGACCCAACGTTTTTCATAAAAGGTGGCTA